TTCGTCTGTGGTCTTGGAAGTCAGGTCTGAGTTGGATGGTACATTTGAGGGATAGGGATGGTGGAAGCTGAGGCCACTCAGGATGTGGGTGCTTAAGTGTCAGTAGTGCCAAGGCTGAGAAACCCTTACCTGTGTGTCAGTTGATGTTCCTGTCAGCCTTATGGGGAAAGTGCTGTTTTTATTCTTTACTTTGCAGAGGAGAAAAACAAGGGTTAGAGAGGTGGAGTGACTTGCGCAGAACCACACAGTGAGCAGGGGGCCCAGACCTGGCCGTCTGAGTCCAAATGTGTGGCACGTGGCAGGAGAGGACTGCCCAGGGTGGCTCAAAGAGGGGTGGGCAGCTTGGCAGACGTTTAACACCAGACCAGACTTCCCTTTGGCTTTGAAGCGGGTTTGCACGAGGTAGGAGACGGACTTAGTGAACCTCTACGGCTCTGTCCAGGCCCAGATTCTAGGAAGAGGACTGGGGCACCTCCGCTGGGAGATTGGCTGCAAAGGTGAGGGCTTGTTACGTTCTTCAGGGTAGAGAATTCATTCCTTCACGAGTTTAACAAAAGCTGCTGAGCTCCCAGCCTGGGCCAGTCAGGTGGGAAGTCTGCTCTTAGGGATCCTAGCCTGGGAGGGGAGTGCAAGCGAGTACAGAATGAATCATTCACACGTCCTACAGGACTGGACGAAGGAAACAGTCAGCAGGCAAGCATGGAGAAGGGAGGCAGGGCCTGCTGTGTCAGGGTGCTCCGGGTCTCTGTGCTTGAGCTGAGCTTTCACAGATGAGGAGGAGGAAAGGAAGTCACAGCCACAAAGGGGGTCTCCCAGTGGGGGAGAAGCAGAGAATGAGGCCTGGCCCACAGACCTCCATGCTGGGAGCCCGGGCCCCTGCCCAGGCCAGTCTGTGCCCTCGTACCTGCAAGCTGGCTGCCTTCAAGCCCCAGACATTCCCGAGCAGCTGTGTTTCATGCCTCCGTGCATACCAAATGAAGCGCAGCGTGCAGGACGTGTCTGTCTGTCTGCTCATTTGCACACACACAGAGCGCACAACACCTAAGCACACGCAGAAACACACATGAAGGCTTGTGCACATGCGCAGATGCATTTAAAAAGCCCCCTTGTTCACAAAACCCGGCAACAGGAAGAGGAAAGGCCTACATTCAAGTACAGGTGTACACATGGTCCTGCCCCTCTCTCCATTGCCACCACCTGCTTACAGACCTGACCCAACCTCAGGGGCACAGGAGGGCCACCTGGCCTGAGTTTGATCCCGTCTCTGGGAACTCTCCTTCCCTCGCTCAGACCCTCAGTTCCAGCCCGTGCCCACCGACCCCGGCCATCTCTCCCTTGACCAAACCTGTGAGACCCTGCAGCCTGGCTAACTCCTCCTCTCTTCCAGGAGATCAGCTGGTTCCCAGAGTCCCAGGCCCCTCCCCCGAGCCGGAGGACGACCCTGGAGAAGCCTTTGAGTTTGATGACAGTGATGATGAAGAGGACACCAGCACAGGCCTGGGTGTTCCCGGCCTGCCTCCCGAGAGGGACGCAGACCCTCCCCTGATCCACTTGGACTCCCCTGCTGTCACTGGTAAGGTATTTCTGGGGACCTCTGGTCCCGGGCTTATAGGGAGTATAGAGAACTGGCGGAAGCTGCAGGCTCCCAGGGATGTCTGGTGGCCTCTCTGCTGTCCCCAGAAAGCAGGAAGGGAAAAACCACTGGGAAGAAGCTGCATTCCATTGCTTCCCTTGGGAATTTGAAATTGCTAGCATTCCTGCAACATCTGGCGCACTTTGGCACATTGTAAATGGAAGTGGTTGGCCAGGGTTTTGCTTTGGAGACAGTTGCTGCCCAGAGCTTGTGTCTCTGAAGCCCTCTCGGGCAGCTTCTCTTGGAGAATCCATGCTAGCCAGAATAGCAGCCTCCCTGAGGTCCCCTCTGCTGCCTGCTGAGGGGAGCTGGCAGCCCTGAGGGGCGGGAAGGCCCTGATAAGGCTGGTATTAAATGGCAGCTTCTGGGCTCTTAGATTCTGGGCCCAGATCTGGGGACCGGACTAGCTGGAACTTCCTGTAGGCTTGGGGAGAAGGCTTCCGGAGGAGGGCAGGCCGGGAGCAGCCGGGGAGGCTAGTTCCGGCTGAGGTTGGGATGTGGGCCACGGGGTGGAGGTGGGGGTGGGGCCCCAGGACAGGTAGGGGAGCTCGATGACTGAGCTGGGCTGGGAGAGGAGGCAGGACCCAGCAGGCACCCAGGCTGGCCGGGCCCTGTCTGTGGTTCCCCGCGGGAGGCTGGGAAAGGGGCGGGGATGCGTGTGGGGCCGGCTCCGCCTCCGGCCTGACAGGCTTTCCCTCTGCTCTTGTCCCGCAGACCCAGACCCAGCAGCCGAGCCGCCTGGCACAGAGTAAGTGAACCTCACTCCTTTGCTCTGGTGTTTGGAAACAGGGAGGGACCAGGCAGGGGCTGGGGACAGGGTGGAGCTGAGGCCAGGAGGGCTCTGACAGGTCTCTGGCAAAGGAGGAAGGCATGTCGTTGAGACACTTCATCCAGGGGAAGAGGTCAGTCCCTAAAACTCATGTTCCTTCTTCCCTTCTTTTGCCCACAAGCCTGTGAAATAGCAGAAAGCAGCCTGGCTCCAAACCCTGCCTCTGTCCCTTGCTAGCTGTGTGGCCTTGGAGGTGTCACAGGAACTCTCCAGGTGTCATTCTGTTCCTACACTCCACTGGTTGTCGGAGACTGAACAGCTGTCTGGTGTTCAGCACTGTGCCGGCCCGTTGTAATTGTTTTTGCTGTTGCCACTTGCTTTGCCATTCCCGTTGCTATTCCCTTCCTGTGGCTCTTGTCGTTAGGGACCCTGCCCTTCTGTGTTTGGGGGCCTGTCAGAGGCAGGGTGGCCTAATGGTTAAAAGCCTGGATGCTGGGGTGACTGCCTGTGTCTTGACGCTGGCCCCCACATGGCCATGGGTCCTTGCGTAGGTCAAAGTTCTCCTGGGCTTTGGTTTTCTCATCCGTAAAATGGGCCATTGGTAAGATGCTCAGCCTTGCAGTAGGTGCCTAATCAAGGCAGTTACTTTTTAATCACAGTTCGTCTGTGGTCTTGGCAAGTCAGGTCTGAGTTGGATGGTACATTTGAGGGATAGGGATGGTGGAAGCTGAGGCCACTCAGGACGTGGGTGCTTAGAGCCTCCTTGCCTGAGCAGCGGGGGGTCTAGGCCAGGGGCATCTGGGGCCCTGAGTGTAAATCCTGGCTACTGTGGTGGGAGGAGGGGTGTTTGAGCCCCCTTTTGTCTTCCTGGGGTGAGCCAAGTGAGGGGGCTAATTCTCAGGCAGGTGTCACCCAGCGGGAGGTCTCAGAGATGCAGGTTGCAGGCCTCGGGGCCCCCGGAGGAGAAGGAGTCCCTGTGTGTGCTCATTTGCTGTCCAGAGTGGGTGGACCCTGGGACAGTTTTGGCTGGGTTTGCTACTGTGTAATTACAGTCAGAATTAGGGGCCAGCTTCCCCTCCCTGATTAGGGACCTGGAATGAATCAGCAGCCATTGGTCCTGCACCTGGGCTGGGAGGTCTGTGATGGCTGCAACCTCCCAAGGGTTGAAATCCTCCAGGCTGGGCCAGGAATGAAGTTGCAGAGAAGCTCAGTCTGGTGGGGGATGTAGAAATGTCACAGTGGGACAGGGAAAGATGCCCAGGGGCTAGTGACAGAGGGGGGCTGGGCTGGGGTGGGGCCGTCAGGGAAGACTTCCAGACCAGGTCTTGGCTGAGCAAGTGAGTATGGGGATAGTGAGGGGTGGGAGGAATGTCTGCAGGGAGGAAACCCCTGAGCAGAGGTACAGAGCTGGGGAGCAAGGTGGGCAGCAAGCACTACCCCTCCCTGGGGTCTAGCGCTCTCCCTTCCCCCCAGCTACCCTCCTGCAGACCCCAGTTGCCCTGAACTCAAGTCAGGGGTCAGGAGTGCTGCAGCTGGGCCCTTCCCTGCCCGCCGTCTCTTTGTGCCCTGTGGCCCAGCAGTCCTGCCGCGTCCTGGAGACTTGGCTCCTGTGCTGGGCCCTGGCGACTCTGCAGCCAGGTCACGTGTCAGGCGGGCTCCGGGCACCAGGCAGAGGCCAAGTGACCCAGTGGCTCCCAGAGCTGGTGCTGCACGGGGTTGTTTTTCATCATCCTGATGGTTAGGATAGGTCAGCACCAGCCAGGCATTTCCAGGCAGGGAGAGGGGCTTGGTCTCTGCCTTTAACCCCCTGCCTGCCACTCCGCAGCACCACCACCTATCCTAGGCTCACCCTGGAGCTACCCCAGCTGCTGTGAACACCATCTCCTGGAGACACAGGGGGGCGTGAGCTCGGAGGTTCTGATCCCCACTCGGCCCCTCGCTGGCTACGTGACTTTGGGCTACCTGTGGACCTCCCCAGGTCCCAGTTTCCCCATCTGTTAGATGGAAATAATAACATCCACTTTGAAGTGCTGTGAGGAACAAGTGGGAATGGCGAGGAGGCTCCCAGCTCTCCTAAGTGTGCGCATCGTGTGTATTTCTGCTCCCGCCTCCTGCGCAGTGTGGGTGCTTCCAGCGGATAGGGTCTGTGTGCCCAGTGCTGTGAGCTCCGGGGCTGCGCTGGGTTGTTGGGGGCTGGTGTCTCACCAGCAGCAATAGCAATAAGCATCACTTTTGAATGCCCTAAACTGGACATTAGGGCTTTTACTGTCATTTTCTGGACAACATTCATGGGACACATGCTCCCTGCAGAGCATTGGTTAGGGGAGGAGTCCCAGGAGGCCTCCAGTCCAGCCTCTCAATCTTACCCAGGAGCAGGCCATGGGGCAGGACTTGCCCAGGCTCAGGGAGTGAGAGGCCAGCAGCCTCCTGACTCCTCGTCCAGTGCTCTCCACGCTGCCCCCAGCTCTGTCTCCTCCCTTCCAGGTCCTCATTTACTTATGTTGCAGCTGCTCTCTGGGTGGTGATTTTCCACTCTGAAGTCTGGGAGAAGAATCAATCCAGACCACTTTCCTCCTCCTCATTATCCAAGAGAAAGGAAAAAAATCTTAATTTTCTTTTTTTTTTAAACTTGCCCAAAGGTGGTCACTAAGCAAACACTTTTGAAGAAACACCTCTTCTCACTGCATTTCCTCCTCAACCCCTGCTGTGGGGTTTGGAAATGGCCTTGGGCTGTGGCTGGCTGTCTACCTGGCCTCGGGCTCCTGATACCATAGAGGGAAGAACTGCCCAGGTTCCAGGGCTTTTGTCTCAAGGTGACCTCCCTCCACAGCTGGGGAGGAAAGGAGGCAGGGCTGGTCCTAATCCTGCCTTTACAGCTGCTGGGGGAGCCGGAGTGAGCCTCCCTGGCAGGAGGGGGCTTGGTAGTGAGGGCTGAGTGTGGGGCTTCCAGGGCCTGAGCCGTATGGTGCTGGTGCTGGCTCCAGGTCTTGGCTCTGCTACTCACTAGCTATGTCGTGCAGCAAGTTGCTTTGTGTCCAAGCCTCACTTTCTTAATCAGCAGAATGGGGAAAATGAATCTACTCTCTTGCAGGGCTGTGTGTGGAGTACATAAGCTGACACAGGCCCAGCGCTTCGTCCGGCCTGCGTGTGCCAGCGGCTCAGATGTATTCGCAGCTGTTCTGGAGCTGGGTGGCTCTGCCTCCCTGGGAGTCAGACAGACCTGGGTTTAACCGGTTTCTCACTGACAAGCTGTGCAACGCAGGCTGGCCCCCGCCTCTCTGAGTCTGTGTCCCCTGTCTCCGCAGCGAGGAGAATCACACCTGCGGGGCAGGTGGTCACGGGGATGACTGAGGCTGATCTGCAGGCCAGTGACCTTGGCAGCAGCTGCACTGAGGAAGGAGGGGGTGTTGGGTCGGCTCTAGCGTTGAGGCCCAGGGACCTCCCTGTTCCTTCACCTGCTTTGCTGGGTTGCTGAGAGGGGTGGCCAGGCTGCTGTGGGGTATACAGAGCTGCTGGTGTTGGCCAGGTGTGAGTTTTGACGAAGGCCCGGGAGGTGATTTTAGAGTTGGGCCACCCTGCTGAACAATCCCAAATGGTGAGGATGGCTGGGAGCTCGTCCGCCCCACTGCTGGGAAAAAGCAAGCATCGAAGTGCTCGGCTAACTGGTGGCACATTCTCTTTCGCCAATGGGACATATCTGTTAGCAGATAATAATAACAGCAAATAATAATAGTAATAATATAATAATGATCACGTGTGCTGCATACCAGGCAGTGAGCTAAATGCCCAATCCCACTTACTCCTCCCATGTCTGGGAAGTAGACACTGTCATTACCCATTTTACAGATGGGGAAATTGAGGCTTAGGGGAGTGAGGTGCTGTGCCCATGGTTGCATGTGGTTAGTACATGTTCATTCACAACCAAGGCCCTGCTGACCCGGAGGCCAGGTCCCCGACCACTGTTGCTACCCTGTCTGTAGGAACTCAAGCTTTGGTTTCTGTAGGAGGGTGTGGCTGCCTCCATATGAATGCTTGATTGTGTGTGTGTCAGGGGAAGAATTCTGCCTGCTCAGGGATGATCTCTGAGCTCTCGGGAGAGTGGTTTCTAAGCAGTGGGTGGAATGTTCCACGGACTCCACCTGGGGAGCCTCGCTCGGCACTGCCTGGTGTGTGTTTCTGGGTGAGGCGCCTTCCCTTGAAATGGGAGCAAAGTAAAGGAGCCCCCTCCCTCCTCTCTCCCCACGGAGGTCTTGTGAGCATGGGGGGGCGGGCGTGGAGGTGTGTCTCCCACCTGCGGTCACCTCCATGGAGACAGGGGCACTTTCTGTGTTTTACAGGGGGAGATACCGTGTTTGCTACTGCACTATCCGGCTTAGCAGTGCAGGCACAGGGTGCTGGTGGACTTTGCAGCCCAAGGACTCACGTCCACCCTGGGCTCTCCCAGGGGAATGGGGTTGAAAGAGCAGCCCCAGGCACCCAGCAGTGGCCGAGGGTCACTGGCTTCCTGTGTTTTTCCTGGACTCAGGCCTGCACCTCTCACCTCTGAGTGCAGCAGCCCTGTGGACTCTGGCCCTCTCCGGGGTTGTTTGCTTTTCCTGCCCAGTTTTGCCTCCGTCCACACAGGGCCCCTGTGGCCTTGGCATTTCCTAGCGGGTCAGGGTTTTGGCTACTGACCCCAGCGGTGGGGGCCCTCACGGGCTCCCTGGAGGTACCTGTCTTGCCCCTTCCTGGGCTTTTCTGGACAAGACGGATTGTGCAGTCCATTGGCCAGTGTCTCCCACCTGAGCCTGGAGCTGGAGGAAGGAATGGGGCAGTCGGATTCCTGGAAAGGACTGGGAGGCCTGTCCTCCCTGGACGTGTGAGGAGCTGAGAGGATCCGGCCAAGAGGAGACCAGGCTCAGAGAAGCAGCGTTGGAACAGAATAGAAACAGGGCGCTGGCGGCCTGTGGCTTCTGAGGCTTCTGGGTGTGGGGATCAAG